GAAATAAGGGAACCTAATAGGGAGGGACTCACTCCAAACACTAGATGAATGCGATAAGACCGTCCACTTTGTTATGTTGTGAGCTACTCCGTTTTGTTCCCTAGATATGTATTCACATCGACCACAATCGAGATGAGACCAAAGACTAATAATATCAACAAACACCCCGATCTGAGGATCAAGATCGTGAAAGAGAGAAATGCCACAAACCACTCCTATGGAGTCTGATAAGACCAACTGGATTTTTAATCCCAAATTCGCCGCAATGCGCAACCTGAACCGAAGGGCTAATGCTTCCACTAGTAGCGGAGAGAAGGAGCCCGGCAGAAAAGATAAAAAAAAAAGAACCTAACAAGCCCCTAAAGAGTCACGAATCAACCCACCAACGCCAATCTCCGAATCACAAACCGTTGCGTCACGTAAAAGCGTGAAACCATTGCTACAGTTCCCCCGGCCCCTCCAGACGGAGATGGATTCGATACTCGAGCATAACCCATTAGCTTACAAACCCGAACCCACAAGATCAAATTCCTTCAGCCAGGACACCCCAAACTCCCACACTTGTTCTGCACTCCTAATTTTTAGCCCCTTCCGGCAACGATTTTGTCCAAACCAAATAAGCCATAAACTTATCGCGAAGAAACGAAAATCGTCACCCCAAGGGCCCGACAAAAGTGACAAGAAAAGAAGGATAAAAGCACCCCTCCAAACGCCTCGTTAGATATCCCACCATCCAGCCTGCTTCCACAAGGATTTCGCCCAAAGACAATCGAAGAATAGATGATAATTAGTTTCCCGGCAACCACACCTCGGACGCATACCCCCAACGATTACATGACTTCTGTTCAGATTTTCCCTAGAAGGGAATGCTAATAGGGACAATTTCCACAGGAAAAGCTTTATCTTGTCCGGGAGACGAACGTTCAACAACGCATTCCACCATTTCGAGCTCGAGTTGGTACTTGATTCTAGACAGCCCACATGAGCATTTTTCAGAAAATAATATTTACTACGAACCGTGTACTCCCCGTTACTCGTAAAATGCCACAAAAGACGATCTTCACAACCGTTGTTAGTAAGCGGAATATAAAGGATTTTTTCAATATCGATGGGAAGAAAGGCTCGTTGCACCAAGTCAGAATTCCAAGTTCCAGTTGGGCTAATAAGATCTTGAACATATTCCAGCCCAGGCACTACATGAGAGAAAGGCATAACCGTGATTTATGCGGTATCCACGGATCTTGGTAGATATTGACATGAGAACTATCCCCTATCCGCCATTCCATGCCCCCTCTAATAACTTCACGTCCCCATAACATACTTTTCCATAAGAAAGAAGAGTTTGGACGAGCTGTGGAAGTTAGAAAATCCCCATCTGGAAAATATTTTGCTTTGAGAACTCTGGACACCAACGAGTCACGAATGTTTAAAATTCTCCATGCTTGCTTTGCCAAAAGTGACTAATTGAATAATTGAAGGTCCCTAAACCCAAGACCCCCATTGAATTTAGAGTCTGTCAACTTCTTCTAGAAGATCCACGCCAATTTACGGTCCCGATTCCGAGCACCCCACTAAAACTGGCTGATAAGCTTCCTAATTTGATCACATAAACTTGTCGGAAGCCGAAAGAGGCTCATCATATATGTGGGAATCGACTGAATCACTGCTTTAATCAATACTTCCCGCCCGCCAATAGAGAAAAGGTTTCTGTTCCATTCTTGCACTCGTTTCCAGATTTTGTCCCGAATGGACGCAAAGGTCTGAAATTTTTCCCGGCCCACCACCGATGAAAGTCCCAGATAAGAGCGATGAGACGTTGGTGTATGGATACCGAATAAGGCCCAAATATCATTTCGAGAGGACATAGAGGTATTCAGATAGAAAATAATGGCCGTCTTCCCAAAATTGATGACTTGCCCGAAAGCTAGCTCATATTGACGAAGAATATTTAATATCACTGATGCTTCACGTGGTCGTGCCTTGGAGAAGATAAGTGAATCGTCCGCAAAGAGGAGATGCTAAATGCGGGGACCCCAACGACTACACCTCATTCCCATTAGATCACGGGATATCTCAGCGTGTCTGAGTACCTCCACAAAAGCCTCGGCACAAGGGATGAATAGATATGGGGAAAACAGACAACCTTGTCTCAAACCTCTGGATGGCACCAACTGACCAGTAATAACTCCGTTCATCTTTTGTTCTATCGACATTTCAAGTATCTTCATAGGCTTATCATGTGCTTGTAACCTACTAAATATTACATAAACACAGAAGGTACTATTATTTTTAGTTATATTATACTATATTACATCTACTTCTATTACCATGAATTTAGAGTATACCATTGATAAATTTACTTGTTTTCTTCACAAAGCGCGTTGATTTCCAGAATAGATGCATTGTTTGTTTGCAATTCCGTATGACCTAATGATATTAAAGTGAACAGTATTAGAATAGAAAGTCCAGCTCTTTTACCAATTAATAACTATATAATATAAATATCAATTTTAAAAAAATAAATATTTTTAGTATTTTATAATAAAATGTATTATGTTGTTACTGTTGTATATTTTCGATGTTGTTAGCTTATTGAATGCTACAAATGGTCTATGTGCAATCATATCGTGTAAAACAGATAGGGGTGAGCATGGATCGGTATGGTATCAATCTCTGGAAACGTACCAAAATTCGGAGATCACTACGATCTCCGGAACTGTACCAAAAAATTGGTTCGATTTGGCTCAGAGATTTTTATTTTCGGTGCGGTTCGGTATTCGGGACTATCATAACGGTTCGGTTTGGTTTGGTTTGGTTCGGATATTCGAAGATTTCTAGCTATTTTTAAAATTTTTTTGAATGACCACCTAGTTATATTTTATTTTTCATATGTTTCTTTTTAAAATCCAACATTCATAATACTAAAGATTTTACTTTTAAATCAACTTTAGAAGTAACTCTAAATTTTAGTTAAGACCAATTTGTGCAACTAACATTAAAATTTTAAAATTCAAACAAAATATAATATAATTTTTTAATAAAATAATATTTCTTTAACCTTCTATACCATGTTAGTTATAAGATAGAATAAGACTAAGTATCGATAAATTTATATAAAGTTTAATTTTTTTTAAATATTCTTTTAACCATTCATTTTATTTTAAATATATTTTTTTTATCAGGAAAAAATTCAATTATAGATCAAGTATTACAAAGCATGAAATTTAAGTGAAGTTTAATTGTTAGTAGTATATTTATTTGCATTTTAAAATTCTCAAATTATATATGATCAAAGTTAACATAAAATATATTAATAACCCACATCTATTTTTATAATTCGGTTCTTCAGTTTGGAACGGTATGAGACTGTTCGGTTTGGTTCTTGGTACGGATATTTGTGAAATTTTCAAAACCGTACCAATTATATTTTTGGTTCAGCTTTGTTCGGTTCAGAGAAAGTCAAAGGGTCAACGGTTATTTTTTGGTTCGGAGTGATTTCAGTTTGGTTTTCGGAGTTGTTCGAATTTCTCCGAGTCCCATGCTCAGCCCTAAGAACAGATCCGTCATTTTGATTCATATCATCCCATAAGGAGACTATAATGGATCAACACCTGTTAATACAAAGAATGTGATACTTTTTATATGTTATTATTATTATTATTATTATTATTATTACAAATAGCTTTTTAAATATAATAAATGTTTTAAATTAAATAATCATTAAGATTTTTGTAATGCAATATTGTAAATATATAGAAATAAATACTCACTCCCGGTCCATATATAGTAGTAATCTCTCTAATGGGTGTCTTTGCACTCGTTGTTTTTGCAATATTCTTGGATTCCGAGACCTTCATCACAATCCCACATATATCTGCGAAGGAAAATAATAAAATATATTTGTTGAAGTCATGCATGTAATAGTATTATTAACCAAAATGAGAATAAATATACATACCAATCTTTTCATTCTCATGAAGTTTTACGTCGAAATTTTTTAATTTCATAAGTAATTATAAAGGATATTGTGTTCTATTTCTTCAGAGACGTGCTTTACATTGGTGTTGGTTGACCTTTTCAGGTAGATTTCTATTTCAGGATGAATTGTTATTTCGGCATAGTTGTTTATTTTTCGAACTTCCCCATTCTCAATTGTGAATGTTTTATTACATTGGAACTTATTCGCAAAGGCATCGATATCATTATTAAACATCATTATTCCAATTTGAACCCCTGAATGAATAGATACAATTATATTTATTGATAGAATGAATAATAATTATATTGACATTTATAATATTTGAAAACTACAATCGCACAATATATATTTTTTAAAAGTTAAAGAATCACATGATCATATCATGACTATTTTTATTGATCCATATGTGGTTAGAGTGATCAACCATATTGCGAACAATGGTTTTAATGGGCAAAATTTCAAAAATGGTCCACTATGTTGGCCATTTTCCGAAACAAGTCCATCATCTAGGGCGTCAATATTAAGAATGGTCCATTAAGTTGCCAATTTAATCAAAATTCGTACAATAACCACCATAGTGTACTAAAAGTGATCATTTTTAGTTGCCATATTTAGTACACTATGTTGACTTTTGTATGAGTTTTGATTAAAATGACAACTTAGTGGACCATTATCGAAGACGCCTTACATGATGGACCTTAGCTAGGTGCATTTAAATTATCTGTTTTTAAAAAAAAAATATACGAGAGTGGATAAATCCATTAAATATATCTAAGAAATGCCTTATTAATTACATGGAGATAGATTTTATATTTTCCACTTAAATTATATCATTCGGGCCTCCAAATTAGAGAAATTTATCCCGCACACCACCAGAAGCAATTTTAATTGTACATATACGAACTGTACTTTTTTATTTGCAATTATGCTAACATCCTACTTTTTATTTGGAATTATACCACATTCTTTATCCAACACCCTATCTTCCCCTTTTTCTTTCTGTCAATTCTTTATCTCTTTCTTATCTCTTCTTCTTCTTCTTCTTCTTCTTCTTCTTTTCATCAATTTGCAGACACCTATAACTTTCCAAATCCAAAATCAAACAGCCCCACTCAAAATCCTTGTCAAAAACAATAAAATTTGTCACCATTTTCTTGTATTCCCATCCCAATTTTGAAGATCTTGACGGTGGACGATGCCTTGGTGGCGGTCAGAGGAGCGATGACCAGTAGGTGAAAGCAGCGGGGACTGACTTCAATCTCCCGAACTGAGGTCGCACAGTGACCAATGGGTGGTCGGAGGTCGTCTTGTGTAGAGACTCAAAAGGCGGAGAATAAGAACACTGGCGGTGGTGCGGCGTGGTCAGTGGGGGGTAAGCCTGATGGTGAAATTATGAAAGCCCGCATTTAGGTTTGAAGTAGTAACAAATGCTCAGATCGAACACGTGACAATCGAACCTCATATCTGGTCGCTAACGAGAGACGACCATGGGCAGAGAGGAAGACAAGCGGGCTGGCGGATTTCGGTTGAGGGCGGCCTAGCCACGTCTGACAACCCGACGCCTGGATCTGGTGTTGTGACAAAACCGGACAACTCATATAATATATTGTCAGTATATGTTCGGTATATATTCTTTATATAATGACTATTTTTTTTTCTGTATATATCTTATGTTTGTCTTCTGTATATAATGACTATATATTCAGTATATTTTTGGTATATAATGCGTTTTTAGTTTTCTTTTATCTTCTGTATGTCTTTTGTATATAGTAACTATATATTTAGTATATATTTTGTATACGATGCATTTTGGATCTCTTTTATCCGGTGGGATTAGGGTTCGATTTTCCCAATCGAGAGGCGAACCACCTAAAAAGAAACGGAGAAAAAATCGGGGAGGTAGAAAAAAAATTAAAGATTGTGGAAAGATAAAAAGAAACAGGGGAAGAAATAGGGAAAGAAGAAAAAAATATTAAAGAGAGAGGAAAGAGAAAAATAACGTGGTGTGTTTAAAGAGAGAGAAAAGAGAAAATACGTGTCATATTTAAAGATAGTGGAAAGAGGAAAAAAACGTGATGTTCGTAGATGTGCAAATTAAATTTGAATGTAGTAGATTTATAATTATTTAACAATTGGATATGTATGTATGTAAATTCCCCTCCAAATTAAATAGGATTGAGATAGAATGGATAAGACAATGTCTAATTTCATTTACATATCGTTATGTCATTAGTAGTTGCATAATTTTATAACATTTACACAATTCAAACATGATTGCAAACCTCGGGAGATTCATCAATTTCTTAATTAAAAGACAATTCGCCAAAAACAAACAGAGAGGCAACACCACGCACTACAAAAATTATTATATTCCAATGGAACGTTCTATGTAATATTTTTCAGCAGAAATTCCAATGGATATTCCAATGGTATAACTTCCATTGGAATCATTTCAATGAAAATTCCAATGAAAATATTCCGTTGGAATGTGTTTTTCACTGGAATTTTAGATGGAATTTGATGATTCCAACTGCTATATTTCCAACCACTTTTTACTGTAGGAATTTTCGTTGGAATTTTTATTTCCACCTTCGTTAGAAAATCTACCGTTGGAATCGCCAAAATTCAATGGAAATTCCAATGAAAAACTCATTGCAACGGAATATTTTTGTTAGAATTTTCGTTGGAATCCCTTAAAAATTTCCAACGGAAATAACAACATTACAAATATCTATTGGAATTACCATTGGAATTCTATTAGAATACATTTCCGTTGGAATTTCATCATTTTTTTTGTAGTGACGATTATATTAATGAGAATATGATTGATATCATCATCCACAAGGCATAATTAATGAGGAAACTTATACAAACCACAACCATATATATATGCTCATTATTCTGAGATCCACACAAGCTGGAACATAATGTGGATCCAATACAAACACCCACAACACTAAAACACATTGCTCATACATTGTAGTAGCTAGAGATGTCTCATGACCAAATTCAAATGTGACAACAACACTACACATATACATCTATCTATCTATCTATCTATCTATACTATTATAAAAGGAGGAGTGATTTTGTAAAAATAATGATCTGCCTAAAAGACCCTTACTTTGACATATTTTTAATAGCAAATTAGTAATACAATAAAACCCATCTTATCTTATATTTTTAGTTAACAAATAAATTACCTTAAAAACTCTTATTATAACTTATTTTTAATAGCAAATTAAATCAGATATCGCCAAAAGGCTTATGAAAAATTTCCTAGAACGTGGAAATTTAACTACAACACCACAAAACATTTGGATGGCAAGAAAGTAGCCTATTTATTGAAGAAAAAAAATAAATTATTTTGCATAAAATAACATACCTGATGGTAGCTAATTTTGACTTCTTCAAAATGGCACTATAGAGTGAGCCCACAAATAGATTAAGGTAAGGTACAAAAATCAACCCGAACATTAAAGCTTTGAAAGGATATATAATTGATGTTTCGAATAAAGTCCTTATTTTTAATATAATTTTAATATAAAATCGTAATCATATTTTATAATTCTAATATATAAATTTTTTTGAAGGAAAATTGATCCAACAAAAATGGCATTATAAATACTTATAAAGAATCCAATTATTTTCAACTATTTATTTACAATTTTAACAAACGGTATATCTTGGTAAAAAGGATAACTTAATTGAGTGGTAACTTCTATATAATAAATAATTCTAAAAATACAAAGTTAACGTTACTTAAGAGAAGATACCTAAAAATTTATTGAAATAATGCACCGTGAAATATATACATAATCTAACAAACTAGAAATGTGAGCAATTCATTTGACTACTTTATTATTTAAGATAATAAATTCTTTTATCTAGAATTAATATATAAATTGAACCTTAGTATTAATGGGTTGATCCCACAAAAATCGTCATTTATTTGTTTGTTTGTTTGTTTTTTCTAATTTTGGTCACAAAGTCAATAAAGTTAATGAAACTTCAACCATTAGGTGGTTGATATCAAGGTAAATAATATTTTAATTATTAACACTTAAAATATTTAAACCTTTTCATTTCAATATAAAACTTTTAAAACTTGTACTTATCGTGTTGAGTCGAATTGTTCAACGCTTGTTAATTTAGTGGATTTAATGATTTCAATTACCATTATTTAGTGTTTTGTGAATTTCCGTTGAAATTTTATATGACATATTTCAACTGTTAGAAAAACTGTCAATTGAATTATAAAAATTTCAATCAAAGTTCCATTAGAAAGCTAATTGCATTGGCGGATCCAAAATAATTTCATAATGGAGACACTATTTAGTTAATTGAAAAAGTATATCATCAAAATAACATAATGTCATTACAATATATAAATTATACTCTCATAATTTATCATCTATCTCATTTGTAATACATTTTTAGCACATTAATACAGTCACAATGAGTTAAAAGATATTTAATAAAAAAGCATAATTGTTCTCAATTCATCATAAGGAAATCATTGAAATAATATATTTTTGAAAATTTTTATGAACAAAAATTTTACGTTGCAGTATAGTTGGCTCGACATTATAATTGATGAATTTATAAATAATAACATTTGAGTATAATATTAATATAATTATAATTATATATGATATAATATAAAGATATACAATTAATTGATTTATAATAAAACATATGACCAAAAAAGTTCTATACTTGATTTTATGCATTATCAGCTATGGAGAGTTGCCACTAACCCAGATCTCTTGGTGAGCAGAGTGCTGAAAGATAGATACTTTCCCCATTCTTCCATTGTGAATGCAACTAAAATCAAAGGAGGTTCATGGATGTGGAACAGCTGGATGGATGTCTTACCAATGTTTATCAAATGGTTTAAAATTGAGATCAGAAATGGGCTAAAAACCAGAATTGATGATCATAATTGGGTTCCCAAGCTGCAGAAGCCCTCTCCTACACTAATCCCTATTGCTCAAGGACACTTAATCTGGGTAAGGGAGTTGCTGCAGCCTAATGGCTCTCACTGGAATGACTGGCTTGTCCAACAAGTGTTTGATGCTGTAGATAGCAAAGCTATTCTTGATATAGACACACTGCATCCAGACAGAAATGATAGACATTACTGGAGCTTGGATAAAAAAGGAGTCTTTTCAGTGTCCAGTACATATAGACATCTTTCTCATCAAAAACTCCTGCAGGTTGATTTTCCTGAAAGCAGCAGCGCTTCTAACATCAAGAAACATGCTAAAATGAGGTTCTGGCATTTAAAGGTTGCACCTAAGCTTAAATTCTTTATGTGGAAATGTCTCAGTGGCACTCTTCCTGTTGCCTCTAATCTCTGGAAAAGGAGACTGCACATTGACATAACATGTGCTGTAACACCCCGCTCATCAGAGTAAATTTTTCGCAACTTTTACTTCGAAAATACTTATAAATCTTTCGAAATCTTTTGCGACTAACTCGGGATGCTACTCAAACTTATCTTCTTGAAAATCTATTTATCTTTAAACTTTTGTCTAATACTTCTTTAGACATAAATAAAAACAGATTTTCTTTAAACTTGCATTTAAAATACCATATTCATACTTCTCTAAATGGTAAAACTTGAAATCTGAAATTTATTAAAATGCAAGTTCAAGTCTTAATATGCGTAGCGGAAATACTTAAAAACATGGTTTATTATACAGACATATCAAATACTTAATGAATGTCCATTTGAAATAAGTGCACGACCACCACCACCACTGTTCAGCTCACACCT